TAAATTAACATAATGATATCATTGTCACTTTATCAATTCCGGTCTGCATACACACACGCGTGTTCGTGCCGCACGCATACATTGCATACGCGCGCACATGCACGTTCACACACACACGCACACACACAAACACAAACACACACAGCACACGCACACGCACACGCACACGCACACGCCACACGCACACGCACACGCACACGCACACGCACACGCACACGCCACACCACACACACACACACACGCACCACGCACGCACGCACACACACACACACACACACACACACACACACACACACACACACGCACGCACACATGTTGAGGCACAGTCTTGATGCAATGGACATTTCTAACCTGTTTAAACTAGTAATTTTAATTAAAATAAATGGGTTATCCCAGCAAAAACAATAAGAGCCTATATAAGACTTCCCGCATATATGCAAACTGGACGTTAGAAAAACGATGAAACGATTTCTGCCAGAGTTGTCTTGTTACATGCGGTCAATACGGATGAACATAATGAACGGTAACGGGAGCTGTTTAATACGAGATAATTCGATTGCTCGTTTACCTGTTATGACAAATCACACACATTGGAATTATGTGAATAACATGCATTTCAAGTTATTTGAGATTTTGATTTGATTTTCTTGTTATCTGTCTATAGAATTATTTTGAGTTATTAATACATTAGCGCATATATTCCCATTTTAAGCTATAAAATATACATATTTACCACCCGGACCACCTATAACAGTCGATAAGAGCCCAGGGCCGTAGCCTCGGGGGGGGCGGGCAGCTGCCCCCTAGATTTTGGAGCAAAAATAAGCAAAATAAATGAGCAAAATAAGCTTAGCTAATAATCGTAAATAACCCTAACGTGATTTTTTTGGTTTAACCCCATCTCTCTCTTCTCTTCTCTTCTCTCTCTCTCTCTCTCTCTCGGTGCGTGTGTGTGTCTATATATTTCTATGCAATGAGCCTATATGCGTTTTAGATGATAGTGGCCAGTAGATGGCGTTAATTCGGTAGGAGCAAACCCAAGAGGGGAAATGCTATCCCCCGGGCGTAGAGGGACAGTACCGCAACGTGGCAGCACTAGTGTTAGGATTAGGGTTAGGATCAGGGTTAGGGTTAAGGTTATAGCGTTAGGGTTAGAGTTAGGGTTAAGGTTAGGGTTAGGGTTAGGGTTAGGGTTAGTGTTACGGGTTTTGCATCATGATATGTGTCTCCGCACCATAGATTAATTTTTGTGGATGACATCCCTATATATAGAGATCCGATATACAGATATTCAGTGGTAGTGATAGTGTTGGAGTTAGGGTTATGATTACTGGTAAGTTTTGAAGTGTACGTCAACTGTATCACGTGACCGTCCCTCCACGCCCTGGGTGTTGCTATCCCCCGGGCGTGGAGTGAAGGTCACGTGATACAGTTGACGTATACTTCAAAACTTAACAGTAGCCACACATACTAACGGATACAGTGTAGTGTACGGTGTAGTGTATCCGTTAGTCTGTGGTAACCATAACCCTAATAACTCATAACTCCAACACTAACCCTAACACTAAATATCTATATATCGGATCTCTATATATAGGGGCGTCATCCACAAAAATTAATCTGTGGTGTGGGGACAGATATCATGATGCAAAAACCCTAACCCTAACCCTGACCCTAACCCTGATCTTAACCCTAATCCTAACACTAGTGCTGCCACGTTGCGTGACCCACGCCCCTTACTCCACGCCAGGGGGATAGCAACACCCCCACGCCCGGGGGATAGCAACAACCAACTAAGAGCTAGACGTGATGCGGCTATGATGCCGAGGCGCGCCGAGGATTGACACTTTGTCTTCCAATCACAGCCTACGCCGCACCAGACATACCAAAAGTAGACCTTTTAAATATGGCGACCCATTGGACCACCAAATCGCCTATCTCAGGAACTAGGGCATTCTGCTATGTTAGAACAGTTTCCTACGATAGAGTTTGCCACAAATACGAAAATAACACAATAATGTTTAGCGCACTGCGCTACGTCCTTCTGTTGCATTTTCGCATCCCTGTAATCAGAATAAGCCCCGCCTTCTTCGTTGATGGAGATGAATGGGGCCTCACCGACGTGATCAGTTACTGTACCTACTGTCTTTCGCCAGCCTGTTTACTTTTCGTAAATAATGAAATACCTGGCCGATGCATTTCGCATCGAAGTGGAAAATTTTCGGCATTTTCACTCCCTGTCGGAAGTGAACGAGTGCGTCATTCATTGAACATTGAAGTTTTTCTTCAAATTAAATAATCCCGAAAATCCATAACCGCGCTACTCGATTGTTTTAGCCAATGAACGTAGCTGTGTGTGTGACGTCTTGCCCGCGCGCTTTACGCTTGGCTTAATTAGCGGGCCTGGAAATGGATATCGGAGGCAGGCACCTCGCAACACGCGTGTTTGTTTACATATAGCTTTGTGACGTAGGCCTACGGCGTTCGGGAGTTCTGCGATGATAACCTCGTAATTTCTCAGCATTTCTTAAGGTGCATGGAACATTTTACCAATTTAGCGGTGTCAGTTAGTCACGGATATGTCACAGTAAGTACTAACCGTATATGTTTCACATACGTTCACCTATTTGGCACACAAGCGGTCGATTGTGAAAAATTGCGTGAATATTTATTTTTATTGAGACGTTCCAAGTGCCTGTGCTTTCAACGGTCTTGTACGTCAATGCACGCTGCGTCAAGAGCCACAACTCAACACAATTTCATCTCTGTTATTGTTGACGCCTGAATGCGTGATTGATCAGGGAGGGGTGCATGTAAGCAGGAGACATTTTCTTTGCGGTTCGAAAATCACAATTTCACTTGACAATTTCATAGGCCATTTCAATTGGAAGCTTTGCATAATGGACCCCAACAAGCCCTTTGACTGACTAGTCAAAAATTCAAAGGTCTGTATATTGCTCTTATTTAGCCGACGATAGTTCTTGTTTAGAACAAAGTCTTCATTGTTATCTTATAAAACTACAGACCATCCGCTGACCGCTGTGGAGACGTGCGCCGGGCCTCGAATTTGGCGCACGTCTCCACTGCGGACAGCGCTTCATACTTGAACATCCCCGCGGTCGCGTGCGCATATCCCGCGGAACTGCGCGTCTCATCCGCGCGCAGCGCTCAGGATCAACAGCAAAGCTGTGCCACGCAATCTTGTATCATGTCTCTCTGGATAATTTTTATAATACAGATATATACAACGGTATACCTCGCTCTCGGTAGCAGAGCACCTCTATCACATTAATTTGCATGCTCTGTTAGGGTCATGTCAGCAAGATGTCAGTCGACTGACTTCTACTCATATCTTCCGATGGAACGAGGTTTTGACCGTGGGGTATCGCACTCAGGACTTCTGCGGTAGTAGCGGGATACGGGTTATTACCCGTAACGGGATAAAATGCAAAAAGAAAACTTGGTTTGTTTTTTATTTAAAAAAAACTCGTTATGTAAGCGGTATACCGCAATCACGCCATAGTAGGCTGCATTGCCTGCACCTGGAAAAACAAGTACCAAGTCACAGCCCCAGAGAATTCCTGTAGAGAGAGAGGCACGCAGCCGGTAAGGAGTGAAACTCTCAAACGTACGACGCGTACGAGAGAAGTAGCGGATACTAGTCGTGCGGAAAAACAAACGACTGAAGACGGAGAGGGAGTCTTCGGGGAGTCACCGTGATGACAACACGAGCGCAAACTGCGATATGAAATCGCAAATGCTAGCTTTCTCACGAGTAAATGCGGAGTTACGTATCTTCGGGGCTGTATGTTGAAGGAGATATTGGATTGTGATATATGACAGGTAACAGCAGTGTGTTGGCTAGAAGCTTCCCTTCTTTTATCCTCCCTATCATCCCCCGCTTACTGCTGCTGCTAACTGTGAGAACAGAGTCCGATTCTAGGAGCGACCGATTTGGAGACACTACAGCTAATTCTGGTCGCGAGACTATATACTGGTACAGCGAGAATATATCCAGGTAGTGCGTGGAGATATACAAATAGCGCGAACATATCTATCCACATAGCGTAAATAGATGGTGCGTGGATACACCCACATAGTATCATATTACAATTTGACTATTACACTGTATTACAAACACAAATTTACGAATATTTACATTGTTTTAGTTACACTATCTTGATTAACGTGACCAGTTTTAGAAACATATGGAAAAACTATCGCCTAAATAAAACAGATATCATTCCGGTCAAAATCTATTCGTTGGACAATAACATAAATGTTGTCACAAAAGCTCTGGTATATTATTTCGATTTATTCAATAATACCTATGCATATTATATAAACAATAATTTCATTGCGCCACTGGTACAACACTTACAGACTATGGTTATTATACAATCAATATCACTGACGATGATACGTAATACCAGACAGAGCACTTACTATCTTAACCACAAAACAACAAGATAATAAAAACACATAATCACCAAGTATGCACGCATTTATATTAGTCATGAAATAGCCGAGCCTTCGTGAATTTAATACTGAAAATTATACCAACAAACACGCGATTGTTTACAGGTGTCTATTGTTTACAGGCGCTACATGATTTTGGCTAACGCTTGGTCCATTCTAATTTATCAACATTACAATATTATTACTAATACAGTTTGAAACTATTCAATGTAACATGGGGATTAGTATCAGTACCTGCATGTCATTAACTAAAATTTATTTTATTATACACATCTATGATTTTAGATCACGCAGAATCCATGGAATCAGTAGTTTGCTCAGTAATAGACGCATTTCATATGCTTCGTAAATTATACATCCACATATGGTCTAACTAAGCAACAAGGAATTATTGTTAATATTCTACTGACGTACATTATTAAATGCTAGAACAAAAAACAAAAATTGTTACACTTAATAAACACCCTGTAACGACAGACATTACTTGACGACAGACTTGAGTTACGAACATGGAACGACAGACCTTTATTTCTTTACTATTTACGAATGTGAACTCCAACCCACACCTACAAACCAAACCATGTTTGAACCATAATCAAACAATTAATCTCTTCATTGGAAGTCGAACTATTCTCCACTTTCGATATAGAGTTAGGTAGATCAAGCGAGGCCCGTTTATACGCGTTTTTCACAAGTAGACTCCAAAACTGTTGCTCGAATACCCCTATCACAACAAATTGATTACAGCTCCATGTCAATAGCTCAACACGAATAGGCCAATTTGCCAAAGTTTTGCACGAAAATTTAGTAATTTCTCACGAATGTTCGTAATCGTGGACTTTTAGTCGTGAACTAAAAATGAGACGTTTAATTGCCTTCACTACTGGATGTATAATGTATAAGGTAAGAACATCGTATTAAGGTGTTTAATTACATATACCACAGCCATGTTAATTAACCTTGTTCCCATAACGACTCGTGCACACGTATTGATAAATGGCATGTTCATAACGATGAAATATATACTATCATAACACTTCTTGATACTATGTACCGGACTCACATCCATACTGTGTAAGCTGGACGTTTACGATTATTTACAGTACAAACTTCTAACCTTCTAACACAAACTTCGACTGGTAAAACAATAAATTATAATAAACTGTGGCACGGCTACCCATGAAATGTTGGCCTCAAGTAAATTGCATATCCTGTGTGCAAATCATTAACTGCAATTTATACATTTAGTAATCACAATTGTTACATTATTTCCACAGATGCAAGTCACACCCAAACGTCCATTATGTCATGTATATTTATCGCATAGAGGGAAACTTTCCAATCTGTCAGGTAGAGAATTTAACAAATTAGGCATATTCCATTCTAATTTATGTGACGAACTTTTTGTCAACTTGCAACATTTGTCATAATATTGTTTTTTTTTTAATGAAAAGCACTGAAACAAACCCGCCCTTTCTAATAATAATTACCGACTTGAACACACATACATGTAAACGTTTTGGCCATTTTTACCGGAAAATCTAAAAAAAAGCGGGAAAATATAGAATAAAATTTAATGGAGTGACATGGCAAAATAAGTTCATTTATTACAAATTGGGTGAAAAATTATAATATGCACCCAATCGGAGGAATAAAACATTCGCATAAATAGGGCACCTTTCACATGTAAACGACAAGTTGACAGGTTCATTGTGAATGTTTAATATGAAGTGTTTCCAATACTCTTTTTTTAATATAAAATTTTTCTACTCTACCCATTTCATTTAGAGTCGAATAAACTTGTTGGGTTAAATAAATTGAATGAGATGGTACACCTCACACGCATGGCTGGTACCATTATTTCCATCGCATCTAGAGAAGATGACACTGAGATCCTGTTGTCTAGGAGTCTGAAGCAAATACAATCGCTCAGCACTAGAGACTCTCTCAACCCTTGATGCCATTGTGACCACCCGTACCATTTGAGAGAGTGTTCTTTTGCTTGCAAGCTTGTTTGATTTCCTGCCAATGGATCAGGAGAAAAAGGTGATGGGATTAAACTCAAAATGAGTGGTGTTAGTAATAATAATAGTGACTTGAGCCATTGACCCACAGTAATATTAAACTACATCGTGATGAAAACCACACCTGTTAGGTAATTGAACTGTGGGTGGAATATTTTGCATAAGCATAGCTGTGCTCTTGCTGGGTGGGTGAACTTGCTGCATTAATCAATACATGAACCTCATTGCAAAACCTCACACTGTGAAACAGTACAGTACATCGTTTATAAATAGAACACAAAATGGAAAATCGATAGAGATTCACAGCAGTCCCCACCCTAATTGCAACATTATCAGCACTCCCATTATGCATTCAACAGAAAAAAAACATTCGCTGAGGTGCAGGGTACGTCTCATGCTCTGCTAGAGCCTAGACTATATCACCTCGACTCTAGACATGCAGTGACCGATCAGTTACTGTAGGCCTATGCCCTGACTAATCAGAGGTCGGTAGACTATGCACTCACCTCACTTAATGCCTCCGTTAGTTCCTGGTAAGCCTTCTCTACGTCATCATTGATTATCACATAATCGAACACTCCTGCCATTTCACCTGTGCAGAAAATAATTGCAATTGCAATTAGTCTGCAACTATGGTCAGAGGCCCTAATTAAAATAATGCATTCCTCATCAGCTGCAACATAACAAGCAGGCGTTCATTCAGGTATGTTCTGGCTAAAGCAATACATCAATTCATATCTTACATATTTGTGAATGTATGTTTGTTTGTTTGGAGCACTCTAGAAATGTCCAAGGACGTTCAGTAAGGGTAACTTTTGATGCTGAATGTCATGGGCACATTGGATTTGACCTCCGATGTCATCTGAGGTCGCAAGGCCAAAACTAGGCCAAAAATGGTGAAAAATCGGTGCCCCTGCAGTAGCATTAAATAAACAGGCCCCTGCAGCAACATTAAATAAACAGGCCCCTGCAGCAACATTGTCCAACCAAGATTCAGCTTGCACTGACTTGCTTTACTGTTACTAAAGGTAAAGTAAATAGATAGATGGATTTTTTTTTGGTTATCCAAGTGGTCACCAACTGAATGCTTTATTTCCCGGGCAATGCCGGGTATTGTGCTAGTAATATATATGACAAGCTGTATTTCAGTGCAAAACTAATATAATGGGTCCCATTATATGACTTTATCCATTGCCATTTGGTATTAATATAAGGATAGCCATGATACACAAGAAGAAACAGCCTGGCTCATGTATCAATGCAATGCAAAAAGGTTATTACCAATATGACAGCAATAAAACTCAAAACGCCGATCTGAGTATAAACAAAACAAATAAGCGCATTTTGGTTAGAAAAATATTTCCTGACAGCTTTGTTATTATATAGATGTTTTTTTTTTTTTATCGTAGGATGTAGTTGTAAACCCTCATGGCTTTTCAAAGTTGGATTTTTTATGCATCCTAAAGATGTGGCTAATGTAGAAGTATATAATGTACGGTGAAACCTAAAATAGCAGACCTTACTCTATAGAATGAGCAGTATACAAAATACAGGACTTCTGGGGCATATACATAAACCCTCACCATATTTCATTTCTTCATCTGCTACACCTAATCGTTTGCTGAGACTCTCTTCACTTTCTGTACCTCTCCCACGCAACCGTTCCTCCTGCAATTACAATTACTTATGAAGTAAACATGAAATACACACACAGGCTCCTCCTACCGAATCCCAGCTCCGATCTGTAAACTCACGACTTTATCCTATGGATGCCTAGATCCATCTAAAACCACACCGTGGGAATGAACAATTTTAAAATTACATTCACTTGATCACGATCGGGGTATGTAGAGGGGTCTGTTATCAGAAACATTTTGATCCTAACAGTAACTATAACATCACCTTTTTCTCAGAGGTAGAAACACTGCAAAATAACACATGAAAAATTCGAAATTTTCCCCAGTTATGCACAATAAATGTATTTAAAATTAAGTTTTGTTCTCAATTCCTATCCAATCAGCGGGCTTGTGACAGCAAATTGCCAAGTTTGCTCGTAGCTGCAATTTGTTTATGTCAATGCTATTTGTGTGTCCTAACATTATTCTAAAGTATTATCATAGGGTAAACTCTACTCTTTAACTTTACAATATTTCTGACAACAGGACCCCGAAGAAACTACACTTCATAAATGGCGTTTGAAATAAAAGTTGAAAAACTACCAGATTATTAACAAATGATATTTCATACCAGAGAAGCCAATGATGGTGGTTTTATTAGGATGTACTTTGGATTGAGGTCGGTCTTCTTCACTGAGCGAACGCCTTGCATATCGATGTCCAGCATGCATATTCTCCCCGCCCGCTGAACCTCACGGACGGCTTTCTTACTAGAAGCATGTAGAAACAATAACCCACCCATAATGTAATTACAGTGAGGCTAGTTGAGTCCTGGTTAGAAAGGTTATCTAATGCACATCTTATGGGGATCCAGTTAAAGTCATCGTCAAGACCTACTTACTAGACAACATATATTGGTAGCTCACTATTAATGGTGTAAATACTAAGCCAGCTGTATGTGAGTTGACTTCACGTAATTTTCAACAAGTTTAGCGGTCTGTACTCGTGCATCACGTCTACTTCAGTTGTAATTCTTTCAAATTTGTTCAAACAAGTGCCGCAGAGCGACAGCGCTCACCTGACGGCAGGTGTTCTGATGCTAAACTCACTGGCAAACGAATGAAGAGCACCCTCCCATCACCGTGTTCGCGCTCAGAGCATATATATCTAGGATACTACTAATACAGATCTAAAATCTATGATAGCTAGGCTTTGCTATACCGGTAGTACGTACACTAATAAATATACAGCTGTGTAACTTTAATGACTTCGCTATATTAACATGTTATCATGGATATGCGTCGAGAGACGAGCGTAGTGGTGGTGGGGGGGAGAGTGGGGGGAGGGGCGGTGGAGGGGCTCTAATAGCAAAAGCAGTTGCCGCGAGATGGCGCGTGCAAGTGTCACAATAATCAAGATGGCATCACCCTCCATGCGTGATAACCTCACTCCATTGAGTTGCTGAAATCAAGTATATTCAGGCAGGCGAGAATTTCGCTCAGCTGTGAGTTAACACATCTGCATTGTAGGTTGATAGGCAATAATTATGATTAGAATAGTGCCAGTTCACCCCCATGCATGCGTAATGGGCTGCCCCATGTTTTTGCCTACCAACGCGAGCATTCAGGGTTAATTACAGTGTGCTAATACAGGGTGCTACTCAGGTGCTAATACAGACCTGCTTTAGAAAACAAGTGCGCAGAGGCGACAGCGCTCATCTAACTCTACTGCAGTGACTCTGTGGTGGAGTGGTGGGATTCTAGTAAACCCTGTTAGTCCCAAATGTGTTCACATACACGCCGAAACAGTGGAATGCACAGGGATGGTATCAGGAACCTTCTCAAAAGAATGTTTGTTGGATCGTTATGAAAGTTGCCACAAGATGCGCGTACTTTAAGTGTCTTCAGATTAAAGATGGAAGCTCCCATCATACGTAGTAGCAACAACTATCTGCAAGACAGAATAGGTAAGCGACTCATCCATTTACCTACGCAAGCCTACAGGCTGCAATAAAGAGCTGCACCTGTAACCAATTAACGCAGTCAAAAACTCCACAGTTACCACCAACACATGCACTGCAGTAGCCACTGGCAGTGGCATACGTTACATGTAACATACTGACAGTACAGAATGCCATAGAAATTATACGATTTAAGGAGCATAAACTTCTTTAACCAAATTTAGCTTTTGAAATTTCACTGTGACATTGTAGCCTCATACATCCAGGCATGTATAGATTCTACTAGCAAACCCGGCAGTCAAAATTCTTTCTAACAGACAGTCAACAAATCCATGTTTAACCTCCTCTTGAGGGTCAAAAGGTTATCTGACACTTACTCTTCGCATGTCAGCAGAAGATTCATGGTCCTTTCAATATGCCATAAAATGCTAGGTCACCGCTGAAACAAAAAAGTTTTTTCAATCGCTCCGTCACACCATGTCCTCAGAAAATGTCTAAAATCTGCCTTGTGCCCATTGACCTTTGACCTGTGACCTCCAATTTCGGCACAGTGATGGCTTTTCCTACCATGATGCATTATACACCGACTATCACGAGCCTAGTCGAGCCGTTTAGATTTGTGCAGCAATTCTGCATTTCCTCCCTATACCTTAAGTTAAGGAGTGAATGTTCCCCCTTCTTTTACACCTCTTGACCTTTGACCTTTGACCCCAGCTTCGACATCCCAACTCGTTTTCGGATTACCCCCCACGTCCCGAATATCGTGACCGTACGTCGAGCGCGTTAAAATTTGTGTCCAACTGTTGACGGACGGACGCATGGACGCACGGACGGACGCACGGACGCACGGACGATCATGCGATTCTACAAGCTGCATCTGACTATGTCAGATGAGCTAATAATATGATTTAAGGAGCATAAGCCTTGTTCAACAAACATTTGCCTTTGCAATTGAACTGTGCAACTGTAGCCTCACATCCACAATAGCGAAAGCAGTTCAGTCCTTTGTTAACAGTCAACAAATCCACGTTTAACCCTCCTCTTGAGGGGCAAAAGGTTATCCAACACTTACTCTTCGCA